TATATATATATATCATTCTCATCCTCTAAGTGGCGAGTGTAATGTGTTGGATGTGAGGAAAAATAAAGAAAAAAGAAATTGTTTTTAAACTGCTGTAGCTTTGGGGCCCTAAACGCTTGTAACTTCCTAAGGAGATGTCAGATTTAAATGATTCTTTTGTCATTTTATAGCTCTCATTTTACTATTTAATCTTGTACTAATAACCAGAAACTTTGCGACTAATGATTTGTCTGGCTTTTTTTCTTGCCATGTTGTTTGTATGTTTTGTTTTTGTCCATTGACCTTGATCTGGGCATGCCTAGGCCGAACTACAAATTGGCTTATTATCGTGTTCAACCTACTGTTCCTCCGTACATGTCCATTTCTGTAGTTATGCTTGCACGGCCTTCAAAGTCTTCGTGGGCAGCATTCAAGCCAGTGTCTAATATATACACATGGACATTTTTTCCATCGCCTGTAATGCATATTATTATTATTTGGTATAACATAATAATAATTATAATAATAATAATAATAATAATAATAATAATAATAATAATAATAATAATAATAATAATAATAATAATAATAATAATAATAATAACCCATTTTACGCAAAAAATATGAAAAATGTGGACCCATTCTCTTAAAAATATGAGAAACCTGGACCCTTTTTCAAAAAGCAGACAATTTTTTGTGCATAAAACAGCATAATTTAGACCCAATAGAAAATTATTGTGGGACAGTCCCAACTGCCCCAATAGCTGGCTACGGCATTGAATGGACAATTAACTACATGAATAAGCTAAGACCCTCTTTTTTGGTCTGACGAGTCTTTATTTTGCGAAGGTGGGGAGGGAGAATTGCCACTATACACAAGGTATAAGCCTACATTCTTCATAGCACCTACCAAGGTTGTGCTGGTAGACACCATCAATTGGGAGTTGCTCTTGATCAATCCTATCCAAACCCCACGAGGCCACAGAATCGATGGTAGCCACGCCGTCCTCTTCAATAAAGTCGACTATCGCAAGTCTTCGAATCTTATCCAAAGCTTTTGATTTCAGCTCCAATGAAACGCCTTTAAAGATGTGTTTGTATCTCCTCAAAATTCGTCCTCCGTACTTCGTAACGATGTCTTCAAACACATTCTCACCAGCTATTCCAGTCTACAAATAGAAAGAACAATTTAGTCATTTTCATATTTTACTACTGATGCTACTGTAATAGAACTCAAAAGGTGTAGGCCTAGCGGAGTCATTAGTACATCAAACGGGGCATGTGAGGCGGATAAGTAAATAAGGAAATGCTAGTGTATGCTGCAATGTACAAGTTATAAGTCAATCGTTAAGTCGTCACTAACGTGATCGATTGCTTTCGTCTACGGTCCAACTTTAATTATAACAGTAACGAGTCGAGTGGCCGAGCGGTAAGGCAGTGCGCGGCTAGCGGCTAGCCTGGTTCCAGCCGCTCCTCGTCCATGGTTCGGTTGGTAGAACCAAGTCTTCTCGGACAAGGACTTAAAATGGACGTCCAATGTATACATCTGACTCATGAGCACTTTAAAGAACCCATTGTATCTTTCGGAAGAGTAAGGGGTACCCCGAATTTATGGTTCATTTCAAACTCTTCAAACAGAAAATTATATTATTAAAATTGATGACAAGATAATGATCTTGTTGTTAAGAACGATACTTATATTCAATGATAATCATAATAATAATTATGATTATAATATAATAATAATTATTATTAAAGTTTCGCTTCAATAAGATAGAAGAGAAAAAAGGCCTATTCATTAACAAACAAAGCATTTAAAACATAGACTAAAGTACTAATATATATATAACGCTTAGATGTAATTTACTTTTAACCGGTGCCTAGGCTTTAAAGTTTTTTTCGCCTTAAACTTATCCAGGCCTCCCTTTTTACGCCAGCATCCGTATGTTAAAATTTGAATACGAAAACGAAACGAGACGAATCATATAATACGAAATAATAAGACTTTTAAAGACAGGCTTTAGGGTCTTTCAATAAAGCATATGTTTGGTAAATTATAAATGTTTAATGAACTTTGGACGAACAGCTGATTGACTAATTGGACATTGTCTGAAAGCACTTACAGCTAAAGCAATTACAGAATATGAAAACAAAATAATTTCGTTTACATATACATTCTGTGTCTTGTAATTACCATCCAAGGAAGTCGACCATATTATTTTTAAAAGCAGAATTTGGATAGGAAAACATAAACAATTGGGACATATTTTTATCATAGCGCCAAAATCGGAATATTTTGTTTTCTGGGTTCTTCATACACTTCAATATCATTGCTTACGCTTGACTCGACCCTGTCTCTTATACACATCTAGATGTGTATAAGAGACATGATCCTGCCTTGTCGTTTAAAATGCTGAAGAATGACATTAACATTATTGGACCTTAATATTTAACTCTTCTCTATGGAGAATATTTGACAATGACTGATCTCTGACTGATGTTCACAGTGCTTTGAGAACTAGCGCTGTTCGACTATACACAGTATTAAAAGAGTATGATACCAAGTGCCTCAACGGATTCGAATTTCATTTCCAACGCTTGATTGATTGATTGATTTATTGATTGATTAACTGATTGATTGATTGTTTGATTGATTGATTGAGGCTTTAAGCCGGCACACACTGCGTCGTGTTTTGGTCATACGACGTCTCAGTACCCGCTCATTGTCGATGACGGTCTGAGCGTCATTAAAAGCACGGCGTGTGCCCCTCTAGTTAAAATTCTTCTAGCTGATAAAATAACAGAACATTATTACGATCTAGTAGAATGACACTGCCTAGATACCCAGTAGCATCCCATTAATTCAAGGCATCAGTGCTATTATAATGAAGTCAAACTTTGTTGCAGACACATCTAGGAAATATCTAGAAAAAAACATAATGATTAACTTTGGACCATGACACCCAGATATATAAATATATCAATTAATTCATTTCGATTATAACTCAGTATAAATGTATAATTATCTAGTGTTTCAGCAAAGAACATCTTAGTAGGCCTATTCAAAATAATTTATAGCAGATATAAATCTGTTTCAATTTATTGCCTAAGTATAATGTTTTATTTTGTCAAAACTGGTATTCCTTGGACTGATGTATCATACATTATTTGTACGCCCGTATAAAATGCTTTATACCACTGATCGGACATTAATTGTTTAATTCTGTTGAAATTCATCATTCTAACCGACTTGAGTTCAAAATAGAGAGGACCGACTATTAAACTCTGCCCTCTACGGTTGGTCAGTGTAAACATAATCCAGTCCTACTCCAGAACAAGAGGTTTGATATGGTAATGCACCTATTTCGTCAGCACTAACGGTAACTAACAAGAATACAACTATTGTGAACCCAAGACCGTGACGTCAGCATTGCGTGAGTAAGCTTAAACCATTGTCAAAATGTTATGTGAACATTGTTGTGAATATATGGAATGTTGTTACGTAGGCCTTAAGGCGTGTTCATTTTAAATGGGCAATGATACCATTATCTCCTTATCATTGTTCAGTAGGCCTACACAGAGATAGACACGATGCGCTAACAGTTAAAATTAATATCGATTTCATTCATTGTATAGGCCTAACTTGTGTTGCTAGACAACCACCCTCCACTATTTCGTAACAGACACTTTTGAACCCCCAGCTTTTAATGAGTTTGCTTTAGGGTCTTTCAATAAAGCATATGTTTGGTAAATTATAAATGTTTAATGAACTTTGGACGAACAGCTGATTGACTAATTGGACATTGTCTGAAAGCACTTACAGCTAAAGCAATTACAGAATATGAAAACAAAATAATTTCGTTTACATATACATTCTGTGTCTTGTAATTACCATCCAAGGAAGTCGACCATATTATTTTTAAAAGCAGAATTTGGATAGGAAAACATAAACAATTGGGACATATTTTTATCATAGCGCCAAAATCTGAATATTTTGTTTTCTGGGTTCTTCATACACTTCAATATCATTGCTTACGCTTGACTCGACCTTTCACCAACAAATCAACGTCATTATCTCCAATATACACTGCATTCAATTGTATGTGACAATAATTAAAAGATAACATGATTTATTACCTCGATGTGTCATCGCATTATAGGCAGGGGTGGTGCCAGGGGGTGGTCGGGGGGGCAGCTCCTCCCTCAGGGAGAGCTGTCTCACCTCCGTCGGGGAGAAAAAAATGTATAGGCCTATGTATTTTTTATATAATTAGTGGACTCCAAAATCGATAAAGTAAGCCATTGTCATATTTCTCGAAGTGCTTCGCAAATAATAATGCAGAAAAAAGGCTACATGTACACTCTGCAAGTGGAAAACGGCGCCGCGAGCAGCTACTAAGAGATGGATACGTGCGCCGCGCCTAATAAGATGACATTATTATTATTATTGGAACATGCAAGAGATTTTGAGCAAAGCGCAAACCACGTCCACTTTTCTCCGTCGGGGACATCCCCCCCCCCTCCATGGGGCAAATCCTGGCGCCACCACTGATTATAGATAGGCCCTATGGAATAATACGTGCACGTGCCGGCATGAGTGCGCATGTTGCCTTCATCAAACATGTGCAAATGAAACAACGGTAGCAGGCTGGTGATATTCAACGATGAGTTGATCTCGTCTGAATCAGTCTTGTTCATGAAGCTGGGCAATCACTGCGCCCGATGATCGTCGGCCGACGTGATACAATGGAGAGCGCATGAACGTCACGACGCGCGCGCAACTGACCATAATAGCAGCGGTTTGGCGCAGCGGGAACGGTTTGGTTTCCCAACCTCGAGATCTTGGTTTCAATCCCTCGCTGTGCATTACCGTACTTCCCAGGAGTATAAATGGGTACCTGGTGGGGTTGCCTGTTCCTGCGCTGATTACCAGCAGCAACACTTAGCATGTGGACCCAATGACCAGGGAGAAAGGAACTCCACTTTATAACCGCAAGGAAGAGGCGCATTATAAATGCCCGTACCAGTAGGCCTGTACCAGTACCAGTACCATTAATAACGATGCTTTCAGACTACCACCGACAATCACAGTGACGGCGTCGCGTCATCTAACGCTCACATGGAGCGGATTCGAAAGCTTTAAGCGCGATGCCTAAACTTGACCATGCAGAAATCCTAAACGGTACCCAATATGTCCCAATATGAACTTAAAGTTTATTTATTACCGCGTTGAATTCTTAAAATCAGTAGTACAAAAAAGAAAAAAAAAAAAACAAAAAAACAAACTGATTAATGTTATCAGAATAGATGATGGACGTGCATTCGATGGCATTTTATCGAATCCCATAAAGATAGCTGACCCATGCTACCATGTATATTATTAAAACTGATAATTTGCGTAATCATTTCATCTTTTGTACATATGTCATAACCCTTTAGGTGATGATAGGAGACTGTCTCTTTTAAGTTCCATTGAGGCACTCAAAAATGATTACACGTTGTACATAGTTGCCCGGTAATATATACTTATGCCTAATATAAATATTAGCTTCTAACTTAAATGTAAACTTGCACTGCAACTTCAAATAGGCATATTATTGATTGGATGCTGCACGGTACATAAGCAGTGGAGGTACATTTTTGGCTAATGAAAATTATTACAGAGTGAGGGAGGTTTTACGCTCATTTTAGGCATTCTTGCTAGAATAAAATGGTGTATTATTGATCTTTATCAGTGCATTCTACATTGGGTAATTCGTCAGTAGTAAATTAAAAATCGGCTAAATGTTTTTATCCCGTGTTTTTCCAAAGAAATGCGTTAATTTTTTTTATGAATAAGGTAATTTACTGACCTAGGCCTACAGACTGATATTGACGTGAGCAAAAGTGGAATTGTGAAAAAATTGTATCACGGTACATGTTGTCACAAAATTGTCACGCTTTATATATAATCCAAAGTACACATGAATAAACAATTATACGCCCTTTTATCAGGAATGACTAGCAAATATACAAACAAGTACGTTACGCTTAAAAAAAAGGAAGCTAAAAACCACTGAGGGTGGCGACAGAAACGGGCTCTAGTCTTTAGCCCAGCTAGCAAAGCGACGTTGGCCCAACGTTGGTAAACGTTGGCAAGCGTCGGTAAGCGTCGGGGTCGGATATCTGACGTTGGTACGACGTTGGTGTTTGGTTGCAACATTTGGTCGGAGAAGTAACGTCAAACCAACATTGGAATTTCACGTTGGCCCAACGTATAAATATATTTGTCGATTTTCCGATGTCGTCCCAACGTTGGTAAGCCGTCGTAAATATTCAGTCTGACTACCGACGTTGGTACAATGTCACGATTTGTTACTGGCCCGACGTCGGCAAACTACTAAAAAGATGGTTGGGTACTACCGTTGGCCCGACGTTGGCTAGAGGTTGTAAATATTAGATGTGATTGCAGACGTCGTCTCAACGTCACAGTACGTTGTCTGTCTCTTATACACATCTAGATGTGTATAAGAGACAGATATATATATATATATAATATTGAATATCATAGATGTATCGAACATGAATCGACCTAATGTTTTTTTTTTTTTCCATGAGGAACGTTTAGTTGTAATTGTGTTTTGAACACACAGCTACCGTTCGCTGGCTCTACCACCTTTTTATTTCTGTTATAAAACGTAACAGTGTAAAATGTAGCTGAGAATCCAGAGTGCATACCATTGACCTGTGTCTGAGTATGTAAAGAAAATAAAACCGGGTCAAGTGTACTTCACTTTGACCCTTTCACCCCAAGATTTAGTTAGAGGCCTATTTCTTTCTTTTACGACCATGTATCCCTACAAGAAACATCGGTGAGAATATATTAGCTCCTTGTGAAAATCATGGAGCTATTAGCCTGTTTGTATACAGGACCGGCGGAACGTTTTTCAAAGTGGGGGTAGGGGAGGGGTCACTTGTAAGATGAATGGGAATATGAATTGCGAGGGAGCCGATCATAGAAAAATCTGCTTAGACATTATATGTCTTGTGCCAAAAAGTGTGGGGGGGGGGGGGGGGGGGGAGGGGGGGATGGGCGGATCCCGGCTCCCGGTTCCGCCGGCAATAGTAGGCTATAATCCATTTTCACATCTATTCCTAAGAGATTATTCGATATCGTTGGCGTTGGTGTTTATGTCTCTTAACTATCGTCTGGAGATCTCTGGCGCGGTCAGTCGACGTAAAAACGGAGAAAGTCAGCAAAGGGCCATGGCCTAATGAGAAGGATTTGATTGAATGGGTGTCTTTCCTAACGGCTGGGGGTCATGGGCCACTAGCAACTCCGGGATCGTAGCTATTTGCAGACAAAAAATTGTTGATTTTGATGATGCAGAGCGTAAGAAAATGTGATTCCAAATGAGATGACCACCAACTTGCAATATTTAAAATAAAAGACTATTTAAATATGAACGGCAAATCATTGAAGTTATTACATAAACCAATCATACTGTTAGATTACAAGAAACCCTTCCAAGGCCTTCCTTCCATAGCACATGTTGAAAAGTATTTATTGCAGTGTGTAGGCCTATCGGAGGCTGTAGCGACAATTTCTATGTGCACTTAGTAATTGTAGGCCTGTGTTTGCTGTTTGGATATCTGTGGATTTTTCAGATGCATAGGCCTAGTCTTAATTGTATGTGACAGCAATCTTGTAGAATTTACCAGGCCGTCGAAAATTAATATCTGGGTTAGAGTCGTTCGATGTATTTCCATCCGTGGCGATAAAAATCTGCTAAACCACTTTAACCCAATCAAAAAGGTTATACTTGCAACGATAAAAATGGTAAAATGCTATAAAGCAATTGTTCATATAGAAAATAAAAGAAATAAAAGAAGGTTTTACACAAGGATGATTTGATAACGATTTATCGTGTATGCAAAATATTTTGACAAATCAATTCAAATGACGTCATAATCATGGAAAAATGATAAAATTGTTTTTACTACTACGAATTTTTTTCGTTTTTTTAATGATTATGACGTCATTTGAATTGATTTATGAAATTATTTTTTATTGTATACAGTACACGATAAGTCGTTATCGAATCGTCCTAGTGTAAAAACTTTTCTTATTTCTTTAATTTTCTATTTTAGCTTGTTATCATTATCGTTATCGTTGCAAGTATAAACAGGCCTTAACTCAACACCAATCGACAAATATTTGGCCAAAATCAATGCCTTATGTTTGAAAATTGTAAAGCATTGTGACATAGGCCAAGTAAAGTTTGCTTTACTTGTGCAAATTAGAGTGATATCAGTTGAATAACCCCAACAACCCAAACATCCGACTCCCTATATTTTATTATCGTCTATAATAAGTGGGGTGCAGAAAATATATTGAGATATCTTTTGCTGAAGGCGGGCACACAGTGTATGACGGTCGTCGGTCTCTCAATTCTGACGCTGGAGAACGCAACGAGACGAGGTGCGCGCAACGGATCTTTTTAAGTACTGTAGAGTAAACTAAGTTCGAATGTTTGGCGTAAGGCCTAGTTAATAGATTGTATGTCGTGTCTATCAAATTCTGAACAAATGTTTATAGCCTAAGTTTATGGTAGTTGTTAACTAACACAATGTTGTGGAAAATATATATGTAACTATCCAAATTGCCTTTAATTTTACTTTCAAAGAATTATTGAGGAAATTCAAATCAGCTTGTGCTTCGCATGATTTTTTGAGTAGCTTTTCTGTTGTTTTTTTTTTCAATACTGATTAACATCACTGTTGCAGCTTAAATCATGAATAATAGAACACCAAAGATCATGCAAAGCAGAAGCTGATTTGAATTTTCTCAACAATTGTAAACAATTCAGCGTTTATCCCAAGCTTAATAATTATATTTCTATTTGTTCACAGTGCAATTATCATAAATAAAAAAGAAGACGAGGAGGACAATGTCTAAATCAGATATGGTAAATGAACTTTATTTTGATACTTCATACTTGAGTTTTAGATTCTGATAACTCAAAAAAAAGCCATCTGTATCATAATATGCCTAATATTATTATTAAAGTCAGGTTCCGGAAGAAAAAAAAATGATATGTTTTAGAACTGATTTTTCTAAGACAGAAAAAAGTTGTTTGACGAAAAACTGGGGAACGGTGAACGAGATACAGATTTTTAAATATTTATAAACTGGGGAAAAACGGTGTAAAATTGGGCGGTTACGCCACTTTTCTCCCCAGTTTTTAAATATTCAAAAATCTGTATCTCAGTCATTGGAAAAATCAGATCTACAACATATCAAAAAAAATTTTTCCTCCGGCCTGGCTTTAATAGTATAACCGTAAAACCTCGAATAGAAGCCCATGGGCTTCTTTTCAAGATAGCGTTGGCTTTTTTTCGAGATAGTACAGTACATACAGGAGTATAAATGGGAGGGTCATGCTGTTAACCTGCTTGTTGGTGATCCTGCTACGAATGTTCCAGTCAATTTAATAACAGCAACTAGATATCAATTCATATCACACGAACGAACGGACGAGTACGTACACTGTCCATGAATTTAAAGGACAGTATAGGTGATTTAATGCCGGTTAATACACTCCATGACACAGATTGATGTTACAGTGGCCCTATTATTATTAATTCCAAAATTTACAGCATACATTTTAAAAAGATGCCCACCCCACCCCTTTACTTTAAAAGAGTAACTCGAAAAAAGCCTATCTCGAAAAGAAAGTCATCCAAAGCTTGTCCAAAAAGGGAAAAAAAACCCGGTTTTGTTGTAAATATAGTAATATGAATGATGATGAAATAATAACCATATTAATAATAATAATTATTATTATTAAAATAATTAATAACAAAAATGATAATTATATTAATATTTTATTTTATGCTTAATTCCACAGAACCTCTATGTTGGCTACGACATGAAATATGTATTATTATTATTATTATTATTATTATTATTATTATTATTATTATTATTATTATTATTATTTTAAATATAGTAATATAAATGATAATGAAATTATAATAAAAATGATAATGAAAATAATATTTTATACTTAATTCCACAGAACCTCTGTGTTGGCGACGACATGAAATATGTACAAGTAAGTAGATATAGCCCTAGTGTTAACTATTAGCTGAAAAAGAGAATAACATTCGCCTTCTAACTGTCTCGCATAACTATATTATGTCTTGTTACTCTTTTAATCTTATAATCTTTTTACTCCTTCATTTTCAATGCATGAAACGATGACACTATAATTATTCTTCACGCCGTGAGCATCACATGCCAATCCTCTGTCCCCACTATCTTTAATAGTCTACATTTCATTTGTATGAATTTACTGTTTAAATATTCAATTAGATGATACAAGATATACTTTTTATTTTGTAAACTCTCAGTGATAAGCTCTATTTCTGATAGATAGTAAACAATTAAAAAGACCTATATTGATATTAACCCCTTTAATATAACTACGATGACACTTCATGTGCACGCCGTGAACATCATATATGCCAACTCTCCCCCACCCCACCCCACTATCTTTAACAGCCTACAATTCATTTGCATCAGATATCCCCGACCAAAGCAAAGTGGGCGTGGTCGAGCTTCGATTAAAAGGTTCTAAAAGTGGTCCTGGGGGCCAAGCCCCCGAAAATTTTGACCTGGACCCCCGGCCCCCGCTGGCGCCACCCCTGTGATATACTGCAAATCCAATGCACGCCTGGGATAGGTGAACAAAATGGGTTGTAAGACCCGGTCTAAAAGCAACTGAAGAAAAGACATAAATTGTAAACGGTAAAGAAGCGAGCGTATAAAAGAAATCGCTGGGATTTGAACCCAGGATTTTCTGAGACTATCTGAGCTGTATCTGTGTAGAGCGCTACATAAAAACCTACATATTATTAATATTAATTTACAGAGCTTTTTGCTGAAAATTTACAATAAAGCAATTGTCCATGTGATACAGTATGAATGCCATTTAGCCATAATTACATGATGTACGGTAGGCCTATTCTTATGTTGCCAATTCCGTCTGAAACCATAGGCCATGAATTCTATAATTATTCTTCACGCCGTGAAAATCATGCCAATCCTCTGTCCCCACTATCTTTGGTAGTCTACAATTCATTTGCATGAATTCACTATTTAAATATTAAATTAGATGATACAAGAAAAACTTTTATTTTGTAAACTCTCAGTGATAAGCTCTATGTCTGATATATAGTTATAAACAATTAAATAGACCTATATTGATATTAACCCCTTTGATATAACCACGATGACACTTCATGTGCACGCCGTGAACATCATACTGTATATGCCCTCCCCACCCCACTATATTTAGTAGTCTACATTTCATTTGCACGAATTCACTGTTTAAATATTCAATTAGATGATACAAGATACACTTTTTATTTTGTAAAGGTTAAAGGTTAAAGGTTATTCTCTCAGTGATAAGCTCTATGCCTGATAGATAGTTATAAACAATTAAATAGACCTACTGTATATTGATATTAACCCCTTTGATATAACTACGATGACACTTCATGCGCACGCCGTTAACATCATATGCCAATCCTCCACTTCCAATATCTTTTAGAATTTATTTACATGTATTAATCCCTGTTTAAATAATTAATTAGATGATACAACATATATTTTTATAAACACTCAGTGATAACCTAACTGACCTAAAGGTTTGTGTCTGATAATTACAAGCAATTAAATATGCCTATTTTGATATTGACCACTTCGATGTAACCATGATATACTGCAAATTCAATTCACGCCTGGGATACTTGACCAAAATGTGTTGTAAGACCCGGTCTAAAAACAATTGAAGAGAAGAGATAACTTGTAAACTGTAAAGAAACGAGCTTAGAACAAATCGCCGGGATTCGAACCCAGGATTTTCTAATGTCAATGTCTTAGGCAATTGGGCTACTGGGGCAGCTGTATCTGTATCAGTGATATACCAACAGGCTTCCGAACAGTCTTGATATGCGTGAGGCCGAAAGCTCAATACTAATCATAAAGTTTTAATGTGCAAGTGAATAAACTCTTGATACATAACGTTACATTTTCATATATCAAGCAATAAGATTATCTTGGAAGTATTTATGCAAAATCACCATGATTATGAAACATCTTTTTATTAGTACATGACGTTCTTGTGAAAAATACTACAGTCAACGATTATGAAAAATGATTTATGTATTTTTTTTAATAAAAAGAAATCTTATATTGGTATATTTTCAGACACCGAGTACAAGAAATCTTATTGTAGTAAGTGAATACATATTTTGTTGAACAAATTAAAAAAATGCTTAAAATTTTTGTTATGAAATTGATAATCATGGTTACTGTTTTGATATTTTGTTAAATTTTTAATTTTTGTAAGTTGTTCTTAAATGTGGGCCTTGTGATTGTTTGCCTATTGCTGTTTTTAACCATTTTCGTTTAAAGAAGTTCAATAAAATATAATAAATATTTTATTCATAATGACGATCTTTTATCTAAATTAACCGTAACTTTACAGGGAGGTTTTATAGTTCTGGCTCTTGGGATCGGGGCAGGAATCGGTATTGGATTCGCAATTGGTTATAACACTTACGAGGAAGAGCTGCCAAATAAGGAAGAACAGCAAGGTAAAAGTACAAAAAAGAACTGAAATAACCAAATAACTTCAAATTCTTTTGTCTGTGTGTACTGCTTATACTGTTATTATGTCACATCATTCCAAAAGAATATCATTATTTTTTTCTTCACAAAAGTGGTTTCGCGCAGCGGGAACAGTTTTGTTTCTGAACCTCCATACAGGGGTTTTACTCCCTCACTGTATATTTCGCTAAGTGTCCTTGAGCTAGGCACTTACCTGCATTGCTTTTCTCCACTCAGGAGTATGTGGGTATCCGAGTGCAAAATGCGCTATTATTTCATGTATATTAAACTATGGAATATCCCCCATAAGCATCGTTCCAATGACTGGGGTTAATATGGGAAAGCTCTCTGAGACTTAGTTGTGTAGAGCGCTACATAAAAACCTACATATTATAAATTTACAGAACTTATTGCTGAAAATTTACAATACAGCAATTGTCCATTAAACTTTAAACTTAGGCTTATGTGATACAGTATGAATGACATTTAGCCATAAATTACATGATGTAGGCCTATTCCCGTGTTCCGTCTGATACTATAGGCCATGAATTCTATAGTTGTACTAACAAATTTTTAAATATGAATATTTAAATATAAATTGAAAGTTTTGGATTCAAATCAGGATTTCGTCTATTTCAGGTAACTGCCTCCCTAGTGGTCAAAATGTCTCATGGTTCAATATACCGTGTCCGAGTGAAGACACGTCTCTAAGCTGTCCACATGGGTAAGAACTTACTTTAACTGTCATGGTTTCTCATTCCTTCTTAACCAACATGAGTTTTCCAGTTACTCAATACAAATAGATTATCTAAAGTTGTGAAGTCACTATGAAATCTCAGTGAAGTAATGAGGTAGAAATCCCAGATTAGCGTAAATATACACAAGACACAGGAAAAGGAAATTTCTAATATAAATCCCTCAATGATCTACTTACAGATATGAAGATCCGCCATTATTGCTGATTTCTCTTGACGGATTTCGCCCTGACTACCTGACACGAAATAAAGACATGGTGCCCAACATCAACAAACTCAGTAAGAGATATGAATAGTATAGTAACAACTACTGTTAATGCATGTCACAGTCTTAGTTATCAATATGAAATATTGATGACTGGGTTAATCTACCTCATCATCGCAAATATATATATATATATATATCAAGGTATCTTTATTTCAGAAAATCAAAATCAAAATATCCTCGCAGCACAAAGCTAAATTGTGATAAAATGCACAAATAGTCGTCAAAGTATGAAAAATAGTCTTAAAAATACACGACAAAAACCCATTACTGCTCTTGCTGCTCAAGTCGTTTGTATTTTTTTTCCACTCTACTTTTGCCATGCTACCGACGTCTGCATCTTTTTTCTCTTTGCTGGTTGTAAATTTGGGGTTTGGACAAAAGACTAATAACCAATTCCGGGGGAAAAAATTTATTGCAGAAATTGTGGCCTCATGCTGTTCAGACTATCTTTAGTACAAAATTAATACCGGTATCAACTATTAATACCGGACGTCTTTTCATCAATTAGGAAACTGTGGCTCGTACGCACCGTATATGATGCCTTCGTTTCCTTCCGTGACGTTTCCAAACCACTACACAATTGTCACTGTAAGTACAAGATGGCTGCATCATCATCAACATCAATATATTATAGGCTTACTAAATACAGTTATCTAACATTAATTGATTAATGATGTTTTGTGAGAGGTAAATCTGGAAAAACAAACCTAAAAAAAAAAAATAATAATAATAATACTTTATTTGTTGGAAAGAATAAAAAAGAAGTTATCAGTTATCAATTAATTTTTTTCCGACGTCGTACAAACGTTTTAAATTGATTACTACTGTGACGTAATGTCGGTATACTGTAGTGCCGTAACAACTTAATGTAACCTAGTATAATAAAATAATGGGAAATATATACCGCATACCATATCATTTGTGCAATGCACAAGAGAGAGAGAGAGAAAAAAGAGCAACAGTTGGATGTCTGTTCATTAGACCGGATGTAAATTGAATTCAGGATAATATTCGGTTTATTGATAGAGCATGCTTATGTATGAATGTTGAATATAATATCAATAATTATCATTTTCTTCCACAGGGATTGTATCCAGAATCACATGGTATAATTGGAAACAACATGTACGACCCTGATCTTGGCGTATTCTCTTTAAGTGGTACTGAAAAATTTGATAAAAGATGGTGGGGAGGTGAACCGGTAAGTCGTATGGATAAGTACAAAAGTACAATGGATCTGAATGAATTTTTACCTCCGCCAAAGGAGGATACTCACTGCTGTTTGTTTGTCTGTCTGATTAAAAGATTACAAAAATCTACTGAATAGATTATCATGAAATTTAGTGGAATCGTACCGTACGTAATATTCGGGGAAAGAAATGATTCAATTTTGGGAAGAACGGTCGAAGCACTCGTCAATATCACGGAAATTCGAACATAAAAGAAAATAATGCAATGGGCTGACTGCGTGTTGTTCGGTGTTCAGGTACAGGGTGGAACATAAGGGAATCGCCCACTAGGACATGGCGGAGGTATACTCTCTTTGGAGCTGTGAATGCTCTAGTTTGTTAATATAATTATACAGTACTGATATATAATGACAACATCATTCCCTTGTCTCTGACCGTTGGGGGGAACAACTAACCTGCCTCCAGGAAGCACATATATCTACCTTGCAAAACCCAGACTTGAATGAACAGTAAATAACATTACTTATACTAGAGTAGGCCTATATCTATATAAATTACTGGAGAGCATCTTATTTAATATCCGTACTGATGCTTAAATTTGTGTAATCGTTAACATCCCAAACTCGCCCCTACTGCCGTAAAGCCATAGGACCGACAGCAAGCTGATACGTATAAGCCCTTACTCAGTATAATCTGATTTCCTCTTCTCAGATGTACTGTTAAATTTCTTACTCAATAATAAACCATCTCGCCGTTTCCACTCTTCTTAAAGCACATTGCTTTTGCTTTTGCTAAGACTAAGTAATAATAATAATAATATATGTAATAATAATAATCTGTGCTATTCGTTCCCCAGTCGTCTCAGAACTTATGGTGATCGAGCATTTGCAGTTGTTGCCCCTAAGCTTTGGAACAGCCTGCCCGATTATGTACGCCAGGCACCTTCAACTGGGATTTTCAAAAGCCGATTGAAAACTCATCTTTATAACTCACTATAGACCACTCACATTCGTTCATTTTCGTTGCTCGATAGGCCAATATTTAGTTTCACACATCATTATGACACCTGTGAAATCAATAGCTGACCGGCCTTGGTCGGTCAGTGAAACGGTGTGATGATGTGTGATTCTATTTTTTTTTTATCTGTTTTGTCGGTTATTCTGTTTGGTTAGTTTATGTTATTTCCGGTCAAATTTATTTCCATACATTATTCACATATATTTTTCAAGCGCCTTGAGACGGTTTCGATCGTGGAAGGCGCTATATAAATATAAAACCATAAACCATAATAATAGTGATAGTCCATAGGCGGATTCAAAGAGGGTGACAGTAGACCCACTACCCCGCCTAAGTTTTCGAAATTATGTAAAGCATATCGCCCGAAACCAGTAAATAATAATTCTATTGATAATACCTTACCTGATAAGATAAACTGTTTCTTCTGTAGGTTCGAAAAAGAACACGAACCTTGAAATACCGGGCTGATGTCCGGAGGGGGATAGTAGCCTATATTCAATTTATTATGGTCCCAAAACCATGACTAAGAACTACCGGGAAGGTGTTCGACAGGGAATTTATTTCAAGCACTACTTGATTTGCTGTAAATTGTCATGCAAGCCTCTAAATACTATTTTATAATATTTTGTTATATATCAGTGAATCATTCTAATTTTATTAGATTTGGAATACGGTAATGAAGCAAGGAAAACGAGCTGCAACTTACTTTTGGCCTGGTTCAGACGTGGATATTGAGGGTAAGCTCAATACAAATGTATGCATATAATATTGACTTTGTGAAATTATATTTGTATTACTCATTATAGGCTATACTTGTTGTTTATATATCGTTATTTTCTTTTCCCTTAGATATTAGACCAAACTATTACTTTACATACGACGGGTATGTTCATACTGAAATAATTGATCAGTTTACATGTATTTATAATAATTAATTTATTCATTCGTGAATTCTTTCTCTTGTTTGTTCTTTTATTCAATATTTTTTATCCATTGATTTTGCTTAAACAATTATTAATTTACAATTGATTCATTTTTCTTTTCATTTGTTCATTTATTTATTCACTGTTTAATTTTTTTCATTTATTCATTCGTTCGTTCTTTCATTTATTTATTATAGCATTCATTCATTTATCCGTTTATCAATTCATTCGTTCCTTCGTTCGTTCGCTCGTCCGTTCATTTGTTCATTTACTTATTCACTATTCAGAGTACTACATAAATGGGGACTGAATCAATATCAAAAGATCTAAGTACACCATAAACACGGCAAGCAGACCAAAATGAATAAACGACTATAACTAAATACAGGTATCAAAACGTGTTTTTAACTGATTATTTCAAACGTATAAACACACAAGCCAATAATAATGAGTATTAAGTTAATGCATTGATTATTTTAGCGTATAGAGTACCACAGTCAGGTAGGTGGCGCTCTCTGTTGTCAACGGACGTTAGTTACCGTTCATTACGCCTGAATGACTTCATAGGCTTTTTGGAATAGGCATTTTAAAATCTAATATTTCGCCACCAAAATGTACCAAAAACATAAAAGCTTGCATAATATTATTTATCGAACACACATTTAATCATCAATTAATATTTACAAAGAAAAAGTAAGATACAACGTCTTAATAATTGCGTTAGAAATTGGGATCAATGGTTTGTCAGTGAGGAAAATGGCGTCCGGTTGAACCCTTTTTGCAACGATAGCAACGGAGTAGTATCACGTGGTATCGTGACGTAACACTAGTAGTACTCTATATTTACTTGCAGGGCGCACACTTATGAACAGAGAATCGACGTTGTTCTGGGGTGGCTTATGTTGCCTATTGATAGAAGGTAAACTTACGGAATATTTTTCCTAGTCAATTTGATCGAAAACGGAAGTGTGAATAATATTAATAATATTACAATGCTAACAAAACGTGTTGTAAGAATAAACTTTGTGATATGAAGGGTGTGGCGTTTATGAATATGATTTCGATGTATTCGACGTTATAATTTACACGGGTATGCTAATGAAATGTATTGTTTTCAATTACTCTCCAAATTATAAACATTAACACAAGACAGATCAAAACAGTATTTGTAATTATTGCGTATTGTAGAAAGGAAAGGACAAAAATCATAAACAAATAGTTTTAAAAACAACTTGCTTATTTTGCAGTATCATACACATTTTTAATTTGAGCATAAAAATTATTGAATTAAAAACATTTGTACCTTGATTTTTATACTGGAAAATTATAATAAAACTTATAAAACACTTCAATGGCTGATAGTGTTTTCACTATTTTTCGCTCGCTGTAAAATTATGGGTTGACATGTTTTACATACATTAAGTTAAAGTTGATAATGTTTATGTTATATCAAAATGAATAAGTTAATTTCAAATATGAATTTTACGATTTTTTGTTTGTATTTAGCATGAGACAATACATCTTTAAAAGCCATGAACTTGAAATTAAATGTAGAATGTATACTCTTCATTGTACTCGTATTCTTTGCTCAATAATATGCTTTATCGACAGGCCCAGCTTCATCACTCTCTATTACGATGAGCCCGACCACATCGGCCACGACCCTGGTCCGTTTAGTGACGAGGTACCGTACCACTTTGTTTTTGCATTATAATCGTTTTGTTATGCATTTTATGTAAAGTATCAAATCATTGAGAGGTAGTTTCTTATTCAAATGAACCAAACACATTACCTGATAATAATTATTGCAATTGAATGTATTATGAAAACCTTATTATTACTATTTATACATTTATATTAGATTAATGGTGCTTTGAAATCAGTTGATGACGTCATTGGGAGGTTGATGGATGGCCTCGCTGCATTTAACTTACATAACTGTATCAACATGGTTGTTGTTGCAGATCACGGAATGGCCAACAGATCATGTGACCAAATTTACATGCAAGATGACGTAAGATTAATATAATGTCCACAACTTAAATCTAAGTTTACACCAAGCCCGGTCCAAAACCGCGCTCGGAGTGAACGTACCTTAAAACATCACCCTATTCAATTATAACATGCCATTATTTATTGACACATCATTGTCTCCTTTGTTGCATCGATACAATTTTCAGTAGAAACTGCCCTTTTTGCCTATTATTATTAATATTATTATTAATATTATTATTATTATTATTATTATTACAGTATTATTATATTATTATTATTATCATTGTAAATATTATTATTAATATTGTTTTGAATTGTTATTATGATTATTACAATTATTACTATAATAATAAATGTTATTATTATTGGAATAAACATACCTTAAAACATCATTCTATTCAATCATACCATGCCATTATTTATTGACACATCATTCTCTCCTTTGTTGCATCGATACAATTTTCAGTAGAAACTGCCTTTTTTGTCTATTATTATTATTATTATTATTATTATTATTACAGTATTATTGTAAATATTATTATTAATATTGTTTTGAATTGTTATTATGATTATTATTATTATTATTATTAATATAATAATAAATGTTATTATTATTATTATTATTATTGGAGTGAACATACCTTAAAACATCATCCTATTCAATTATACCATGCCATTTATTGACACATCATTGTCTACTTTGATGTATTGATACAATTTTCAGTAGAAACTGCCTATTTTGCCTATTATTATGCCATTTATTGACACATCATTGTCTACTTTGATGTATTGATACAATTTTCAGTAGAAACTGCCTATTTTGCCTATTATTATTATTATTATTATTATTATTATTATTATTATTATTATTATTATTATTATTATTGTTATTATTATTATTACAGTATTATATTATTATTATAAATATTATTATTGTAAATATTATTATTGATATTGTTTTGAATTGTTATTATGATTATTATTATTATTAATATAATAATAAATGTTATTATTATTGGAGTGAACGTACCTTAAAACATCATTCTATTCAATTGTGACATGTCATTTATTGACACATCATTGTCTACTTTGATGCATTATATAAGCGTCCGTTAATTCATTATTATTATTATTATTATTATTATTATTATTATTATTATTGTTATTATTATTATAAATATTATTATTGTAAATATTGTTATAAATATTGATTTTTTTTTATTATGATTATTATAATAATTATTAATTTAATTATAAATTTTATTATTATTGTTATTAGAATTATAATAATAATTATTATTATTGTGATTATTTTATTATTATTATTATTTTTTTTTTCCAAAACAAAAAGGTCGACGTTTAGGGTCCATCATGGAACCATTTTAAAGAACGATGAAATGGTTCCATGACCGAAACGTCGATTCTTTTTGCCATTACATTTTGTTTTGAAATTATATAAGCGTCCGTTAATTCATTATTATTATTATTATTATTATTATTATTATTATTATTATTATTATAAAAAAGTTACTTAACGATTGTCTTGAAATAGTCTCTTTAAATTATCCAGATACTATCAATTGTTTTTAAAATAGTAAGATAATTTCGGTGTCTTATTTATAGTATCTTCCTGCATCCCAATATTATCGGCGAACGACAGCTGGAACTATGCTTCGATTGGATCCGAAGTCAAGTGGTATATACTTACCTACTATTTGTTTTGATAATGTGATATTTCTATAGTTTTTTTTACATGTTAGGCCTACTATGTATTATCATCAGCTAGAAAAGTAGCATGATCTTAATTTTTATAGATACAAAAATTACTTGATGATTGTTGTGATGCAATAATTTGTTTCATGAGAAATTTCTTACATAAACCATGTATTGATTTGTTTTGTGTTTTAGCTGAGTTACAGGATCCAAGGGACATAGTAGCCGCACTCCAGGTAGGTCAAATTAGACTGCAACACATTACTTTTCGGCTTCGGACGGCAGCCGATGCGATTTCATGCGAGTGAGATTGAATGACGCGCCGCGCAGCGGATCGTTGTTAACGTCAACCCGCTCAGACGTCATTGATGGTCATAGTACCTACTGGCGATGGCTCGTACATACTTCGGCCGACTGTGCTGTCGTTGTTCTTTGCCCGATGCAGTGTTCGTCAAGCTTACATATTTAACCACAAACACTCCAGCACTCTCACACAAGCAGATCACCACACATCCCTCCCCCAATCGGGTCATCTTCAACACAATAGCGTTTTTTAAAGATGTATTGTCCCATGTAAAATACCAAAACAAAATCATTAAATTGTTTTAGAAATTAACTTGCTCATTTTAGAGTAACATAAGCATAATTAAATTGAACATAGAAATTAGTGTATTTAAAAAGTGTTTACGCATAATTTACAGCGAAACATTATAGAAACACTTCTATAATTTCGAAGGTACTTGTCTTTCAGTGTACCAGTCCAATTGCAACAGCTTATGTTAAGGAGGATCTACCTAAGAGATGGCATTATATAAATAACATACGTATTGAGGATTCACTGGTTCCAGTTGAGGCAGGCTGGACGGCTACTGGGTTAGTATTACCCGGTATTGTAGTAGTAATAGTAGTGGTAGTAGTAGTAGTAGTAGTAGTAGTAGCAGTAGTAGTAGTAGTAGTAGTGGTAGTAGTAGTAGTAGTAGTAGTAGTAGTAGTAGTAGTAGTAGTAGTAGTAGTAGTAGTAGTAGTAGTAGTAGTAGTAGTAGTAGTAGTACGGTAGTAGTAGCAGCAGCAGCAGCACCAGCAGCTGTAGTTACAACAATGCAGCAGAAGTAACAGTAGCAGCGGCAGCAGTAGCAGTAGCAGCGGTAGTAGCAGCAGCAGCAATTACAATAGCAGCAGCAGTCTATATAGTCAGTTATTGCCAACATCAACATATGCTTAGAAATATCAATGTCCTATCAATAATAGGCGCGTAATTATTATGACAATATAGAAATAGAAACATAGTATCATTAAATAATGACATGCAGTCCTAATGCAGTACTTATATTCCTACATCATTACATAATTTCAGAGGGCCAACTACTTTCTGTGATGGCGGAACGCACGGTTACGACAATCTCGATGTCTCAATGGAGGTTGGTAATTTTAGGCCTATTCAAGGCTTGATTAATACAGAATAGAGCTTTTTAACAGTCTTCCCGTGAACTTACAAACTGCTACTCTTATTTTTTTTGTTTTACTTTTTTTTTAATTTAAATTTATTTTGGGAATCTTGAGAACTTACATTGAAACAGTTCAGTTTTTAGGTGATGATGATGATGATGATGATGATGATGATGATGATGATGATGATGATGATGATGATGATGATGATGATGATGATGATGATGATGATGATGATGATCTGAGTGTGTCTGCCCAAGTTTGGTAAGCTATTTAATTATTACTTTGGTCATAAGTGTAATATGAATATTAATAATAATATAATAATAATGATAACAATAATAATAAATATAATAGTTATAATAATATTAACAATAATAATATATAATAATAATAATAATAATAATGAATATAATAATAATAATAATATAATAATAATAATATAATAGTAATAATAATAATATAATAGTAATAATAATAATAATATAATAGTAATAATAATAATAATAAATATAATAATAATATAATAATAATAATGATAATAATAATAATATTAGTAGTAATATTGATAATGGTGATGATGATGATGATGATGATGATGATGATGATGATGTTGACGACAAGTATACAGATGATGGGGTGATGATTATGATGGTAATGATAAAGATCATGGTGATTGTGATGTGGATTATGATAAACGATATTCAAGAATGAATAATGATAATAATTAATAATAATAATAATAATATTAATAATAATAATGATAAAAAATACTTTATTGAGCATGTATGTGATGTGTTTTCTTTGCAGCCTCCGAGTAAGATAAAGGAATACGACGAACAACTTAAACTGACTGAGTCACTAAGTATGTAAACTTTCATTAATCCTATTGAATTATTATTAATTAGGCATTTTAATAAAAAAAAAACAAATATTTCCTGTTATAAGATTTCCATTTATATAACATTTCCTGTTATATAGGAAATATGATAGTTTCGTTAAATACGCAGATTAAAAATTGAAAAATAAAATATAATTCACCGAAACGTCGAGACAACCAACCAGTGGTTTTATCCCTCAAAACCTATATTTTTCGGATGTACCGAAAGTTGAATGGTTCTGTTATTCATACTCGGCGTTGCAAAACAAAAAGCAAGAAATATAAAATGTAGTTGACATTGAATTAGCCCTGTACTGCCTTTTAAATAACTTAATTCTTAATCTGTAATTGTAATTTTTTTTAAAGAGAATATCGCAGTGTCTGAGCATGCTCCGTTTGGTCGACCAATTACTAACGTTCCATGGGAGTTCTGCGAATTAGCCCAAACTGACTACCTTACCGGCTACAGTCATGACCATAGCATAGCACTTTATGTGTCCTATACACTCTCACAGTCATCGGTGGGTAAACATTTTAATCATGGCAATTACAAGCTGACGTCATATAATTTGATTAATTCTGAGCTCTTTGCTCTTGATATTAGCGCCGCAATAGACTGTCTACAGCATGCGCAGCATTTACGCGCATATTACTACACCTAGTTAACTTGTGTTCACACTAGACTAGCGTATTCTTTAAACGCGTTGACGCCAACGCTATGCCTAATTGCTTTGCTGTTGCTTGCGTGTGCGTCAAGTGGTCTAAAATTGCTCTACTGTGAATCAAAGCTTATACAACATACTGTACGCTAAAATAATATGACAGCATATGTAGGCCTACAGAATCATTCTATGTATAATAGATTTGGTTGTGTGACCTAGGTTAGCTTTGTCATGCTCGAAGGAATATATATGCTACTTTCATCTTTCGTTTAATTCAAATAATTATTAAGAAAGTATTTATTTAACCGGTAGTATTCGTTTACATAGCATTTACGTAATGATTTAGGGCGCACTCCAGCCCTAGATTTAAGGATAGGCAAACTTTTAGCCTGCAGAATAAATGGAATAATAAATAATATCATAAATTTAACACTGCTTTGAAAACAGAACAAACTTTGACTAATAATACTATAAAGCAACAATCGTAGAAGGCTAAGATTTTTTTTTAAACGCTACAGGGATCTGATGTGATGAGTGATTGTGTCCGACCCGATGTACGAGTAACTAATGAATTCACCAGAAAATGCGTCAAAGTTCGTGATGCATACAACAGCACAATTTCAACCGGGTATCTATTCCAACCAGGTAAGTGTATAAACAAATATCTTGTAAGTTTGTCACAGGATGCCAAAAAAGTCATCTGCGCATGCCAAGACTAAAGTTTCTCTAAATTCCCTGATGAGTTTGTTACGATATGTAGTGGAGTTGAATAGCTTAGTGGTTAAGATGCTTGTATTCTAATCCCTGGGTCCTGGGTTCAATTCCTGTCACAGCAGTACATTTTCTCACGACTAAAATCAAATGTTGTAACGTTGAATTGTTGTAGTGCATACGCATAACGTTTACATTTAAAACAATGTTTTGAGATCAAACATCGAACATCCTTCACATCAAGACCAAATCTAAAAAGGTATACAGAAAGCCAATTCGGCTAACTGTAGACGGATTTGCAGGGGGAAGGGTGATAAACAGGATTTACCCCACCCTAACATTTTTCCAACGTTCATGTTCTATGAATAATATAAAGTTTCCCCAAGTTGAAACTTTTATCTAAGACCGCTGAAAATATTGGTTTATCAAACCATTCCGGCGTCATATGGGAGCCATACTTTTAATGTAGGGTGAGGAAGGTGTCGATTTAAACCATCTGAAAATGTTGGTAGCACCCTAACGAAAAATCCTGAACCCACCCATGCAAACTTTTTTTTTAACGATTAATGCCCTTATAAAATCTGATATATTTTTAAAGGATTTTCAAGCTCTGGAGAAAGCCAAATGGATGCGTTAATTTCAAGTAATGTCGTACCACACTATACGAATTTTACATCAGGTATGAGTTGTCAATTTTTGGTTTCTGATTCGGTATGAGGAACATCTGCCGGCTCAAATAATTCGCCGAAATTAAATCACATTAAAAACATATCCTTTTACCAAGTGCTTGTCAACAATTTCGTCAGATAAAAAACCTCATAATTAGCAATATCGGGCCTATATAGCCTACCGGTATTTATTCAAAAAATAGTTGGCCACTCACTGCATCTTACGACGGTCGTGCGACGAATGCAACTAGGCCTCTGTGAGCACTAAAGAGGCGACGCCGTCTGCTGACTGTTCGTGGCAGTCTGAACGGATCGTCACTAAACACGATCCGTTGTGCGTTAGTCGTGGCGTTGCGTTCTACGTATACAGAATCGCAGTGAGTGCTCGGCATTAAAGTTTGTGGAATCAATATCTAGGACAATTATTGTTTAATATTACTATATTAAACAATAATTGTCCTAGATATTGTTTAATATTATTATATTTCTCAGTGTAGGAATCTGTTTCAAGCTTACGAAATTGCATCTACTTTTATTTGACAATATATCAAATCTTTTGTAAATAAAACAAGGTATCTATTTGTATTACTAGATCTATGGCAGGGTTACTTGGAGACATCAATTCGACATTGGTCGAATGCTTACGGTCGTATTAACGTCATTGCCGGAACAGCGTTTGATTACAACGCAGATGGCTTAGCCGATGATGCGGTGGCTCTTAGTAATAAGAAGTGTGTTCACAAGCATTACTATGATTATTATGATTAAGTTTATTATGATTATTATTAATATTATTTATTTTTATCACTATTATTATTTTTAATTAATTATTATTAATCATTTTTTTATTATCACTATTTTTTAAATTATTATTATTATTATTATTATTATTATTATTATTAATAATAATATTAGGCCTATATTCTTAATAGGCCTATATTGTTATTATTATTATTTTTTTCAAATGTTATGACGATGTAAATGTATGACAATCGTCTTTGTAGTGAAACAGTGGATGAACAACATACTATTGACGTTGTAGTGAGTTTACATGTTTTTGACGATTATTTTTATTGTTATTAATATTATTATTATTATTTTTATTATTAGGCCTACATTATTAATAGGCCGATGCGTTATTATTAATTCTTTGTTTCAAATGTTATGACGCTTTAAATGTATGACAATCGTCTTTGTAGTAAGACAGTGGATGGACAACTTGTGCCAACACATTATTACGTTGTAGTGACTCGATGTGCTGAAGGAGAGTTGAACAAGGAATGTCCGGATATTAAAATGGTGGCTTTCATCTTACGTCATATGGATGGCATTCAAACATGCAAAGTAAATACAAGTTCATTTATTATCTCTGTGTAGCTCATTAGAGTTTACATGCGTAGACACGCGAACATTGTTTTAATATGATAAAACAGTAGTCTAGAAATACAAGGCTTTTGAGACCGCTATCATCCATGTAGGCCTATGTATGACAATCGAAGACGTATTAAATGTTGATCATACATCCGAGTTATTTCCGTCCATTCGTTGTAGTTATCAACGTCTAAGTTAATAATTAATAATATCCTAATAAAGAAAGATTATTTGTGTTATATCAATTATATTGTAATATTTAACTGTGTATAATGGTTATGGTTTATTTTCCAGCCGCCTACTGAGTTCCTTGAGACACACGTCGCTCGAGTCAGAGATGTCGAGCTTCTAACTGGGTTAATCTTTCATCCAGATATTGAAGACGTGTACGCAACGATTCGTTTGGAGACGTTTATTCCGATGCGTGGTGATTTGTGGAAATTATGGCAGATGCCAAAAAACGTTTGAACAATTAATAGTATCTAATAACCGATATGAATTTCTCAGTTACGTCATTATATTTGGGAGTGATAAGTAAGTCTAATTTAAAAAGTGTACCAAATGATAACAGCGTTCGAAACACGAATTGAAAGTGTGAACAAAGCGTGTTTGAATGCAATCGTTACTCCTGACTACCATTGGATGTAAAAATGTACAAATTACGTAATAAGGAATACACATTTTACCTAACAAACCTTAACAAACGATGATTATTAGTATTAAATATATTACAAACAGTGGCCTACCTACGGGTAGGCGTGCCCTTCCCCCAAAAACGTTTTCCCTTTTCAGTCCCCAGGATCCTTAGCTCTGCGAACTCGAAGTGAAAAAAATATATACACAAAATTGGGCATGTAAGCTTATTCTCCCAGATAGTAGTTCCCTCTCACATTCTCTTGCTTTCCTGCAGAGATATTTGGCCTATTATTAGTATGGGCCTAATGCCTTTGCTTCCCCACTCAACATCAGTCCCATTTGTTTATACTCATGGATACCATTTGCCACTGGTTTATAGGCATGGTTTCTGGTAGTCAGCAACAAATAAACCTTCTAAAATCTAATGAGCATAATCTTGTTCTAAATTTGAGATGCTAATGTGATATTTCCGTAAATGCTTTTTCGTTCTGAATGTTGAAAATAAATTACATGTACCACGAAAGTATTTATGTATTTCGTAATTAATCCTGTTGGAGTAGTGAGGCAACGTGGAAATTAAGGATGAAATTCTATTACTGTTAACCGCTGTCGGCGCCAGCGTCTGTAATCTGAGGGAAGAGTGAGGGGCAAGGTAAAATTTTAGGGTGGGTGGGGAGAGGGGGTAAAAAGTAGGATCAGCACCCTGCAATTGTCACTTGACTCTTGCATGTATGTTATAAGCGGTATCATAAAGACTGGTATTGATCGTGATAAGCGCACTACTGAATAAGTGACTGCTCTGGGTTAACTTCACTAAAGCAATTGATATGATTGGGGACTGGGTGGGCGAAAGAAAACTATCGGGGTGGGGAATGCCCCCTTTCCCCCGTAGCGCTGCCATTGATTTTAACGGTCGGTTGATAAAATCATAGATGAAATGAGACCATTTCCACACTTACAACTCCATCTCTTAGCGCCCTCATTGTAACAATCCGCTCCAACCTCATCCCTCTGTACAAGCACATGCAAATCTGCTTATCTTCCCCACACAACGTTTAATTGAACTATCAATGTCCAAATACTGTAAGCACGATAAACTATGAGAGATGTGTTAGGTCAGTTTCTGGTTCTCTTGTGGGGCGGCCTTCAAAACATTTAAATGGAAAATTGGACAAGTTTAGTTTTTAAAAGTTCAGATTCGTGGGTCTATTATAGGTTATCTTGCTAAGAGCCAACACGTAACATACTTGCAAAAGAAAAAACAATATACAATCAACAACTTTAATCATACAATTAAACTTTATTCGTGTTATATAACACACATCAGTAT